CCCCCCCCGGTCTGACTAACGTTAAACGTTTTTATATCCCAAGACTCCGATACACAAGTGCTCTAATTTATACTGAAAACAGAAGCCTACTCCTTAATTATGAGCCACCAATACACAATTAAGAAAGGTAATAAGTTGGGAATAAGTTTATTGCTATCCAATATGAAACAAACAACGATAGTAGATTGTTACATTCAAAAACTACCGAATACAAATATAACAACTTAATCTATACAATACTACTGTGACGTGTGTGCCCTTGTATAGAGGCTTATACAAGCTTTGTCTTCACTTTATTTGCATTTCAATCAATAGTTTGTGCTTATAAACCTGCATTTCCCCTCTGGTCTCTCAGTCACTGACGAAAGCTAGTGAATACTAGCTGAAACGTCTGACGTTTGCAAAATCATATCCAGCAGCTTGAGTAACTTCTTTTTGGCGTATCGTATTACCTTGACGTCTAACCTTCATTGACGTAAAGCTACACTCGCTTATCTTAATAGCAAATAATAGTTACACGGTTTAATACAATAAAGAATCAAACTTCCAGAACGATAAAATGTATAAGTTGTATGTAGTTGATATAATGACTATACCATGACATATCATATATATAATGATGAAAGTTTAAGATATACACATTCTGATACACGTTATTTTCACATCACAGAAAACACATCCCATATACAAAAGTGATAACAACCTTTATAAAAACTGTGGTATAAATTGATAAAAATGTAGGCTTTTAGAAATTGTTCCATGATTGTCACTTTTTCTCAGTAATGGACTTGACAGTGATACACAAAGACAAATATTTTACAACTCCTTGTACATGTACTTGCACATATAAACGGGGTTGTAAAAGTAGCTAATAGTAGTGTATAACATGTTTACACTATGTTACATGTAACAAAGTCACATCCGTCCCCTTCGCGATGTCTACCGCCCACGCTATGGCACGCTTTCCTGCAGCTGCACACATGGTACTTTAACAGTCAGTACATCGGTGGCCATGTTGGAGACAGGCGCGTAGCAC